GGTTTAGGGTTTTGGATTTTGGGCTTGGGGCTCGGGGTTTGGAGCCTCAGCACTTATAGCTAGGCTGACGCGAGGATTCGAGTCCGTTCCGACAGGAAGCTCGAGACTTCGCTGCAGGTGGGTAGCTTAACATTAGGGTCCTCTTTTATAGGGGTGACTAAACCCTAAACCCATACCCTTATAAAAAGAGGACCCTAATGTTAACAGTGTCGCGATGTTTCGGGGACCCAAAAGGGACCCAAAACTTTTCAAACCTTTTCTTGAACCCAGGCTCTGCCAATCAGCTACTTCTCAACCCTGAACCCTAAACCCTAAACCCTAAATCCTGAATCCTGAATCCTGAATCCTAAACCTTAAACCCTAAACCCTGACCCCTAAACCCTGAATCCTGAAGCCTAAACTCTAAACCCGAAGTCCTGAACCCTAAACCCTGAATCCTGAACCATCTAAACCCATGCGGGGCGCCGAGGGATTGAAGTTGTTCCTTGCTGCCCCCACCCCCCCGGATAAGCCACATAAAATGGAGGCGTCAGTAGGTAGAATAGGCTTCAGTGCTATACTAAAGTATACCAAAGCATAGGTGGAATAAGGAAACTAGGGAATCATGCTGTCAATTACTCAAGCTTCTACATTCGACATGCACGGGCCGAGTTCGGATGTTTAACTGTAGGCTTGTCACTTTGGCTTGGTGTTTAGAGATCCGGGCCCAGGGCCATGCAGGATTTCGGGCTCAGATTTTGTTCTTTGAATTTCGGGTTTAAGGTTTAGGGTTGCCGAAAACTCTGAAGTCAGGCAAGCGTCTTTGGCACACTCCACCAGCTCCTGTGCGGAGGTGTTGCTGCTATTCCCCTCTACTTCCATATGCCGTACTCACAGGGATATGTACGCCACTAAAGATGAAGAACCCGTAAGCCCTAAACAGCCTAAACAGTACAACTCAGCTATGACGCGAGGCAAACTTACTTTGCCTCATTGGTTTCCGTAAACCCTTACCCTTACTCACGTACACAAGTTGAAATAGAACAGCCAGAAACAACAAAACCCAGAAGGTTTAGGGTTTAGGGTTTTAGGATTTAGGGTTTTAGGGTTTAGGGTTTCAGGGTTTAGGGTTTTAGGGTTTGGGGTTTTAGGATTTAGGGAAGATCTTGGACCAAGGTAGAAACTGCCGTGTTTCCTACTTTAACCAGACAAACTTACACGAAGTGCGAAAGACGTGTGTGGAAACGTGCAAAGCGCTAAGAAGCAAGCCTCGCACTTGAACTTGGACTTCGCAAGATGCAGCGGCTGACTCCCCGGCTGCAACTACCCAGTTCTCAGCTTTACTGATCTGAGTTAGGGCTCAGGGTTGCAGCATACATAAACCTAATGTAGGGGCCCTAACACGGCCTTAATAGTTAGAATAGGGTTTTGGTGTATATTATACTACAAATATCATAATAAGGAACCCGCAAAATAATCGAGGTAATTATGAAGGCCCCT